CACACACAGCCTCTTCCCAATATGCGTTTTTGCAATTTACATATATGCAAAAACGCATAAGAACGAACATTTGTAGAGCTGGTGAACCAGACTGCTTGAATTACAAATTTCCGAGTAAACCAGTGCTGTTTGTAGTTGATGCTCGAAGCGGATGTTCACTGGAATGATGCATTCGACTGGGAAGCAACCGCACAACCACGTGCGCTGTTTTCTGCCGACGGGATCTCATCCACATCGGCTGCAATTGTCACATTTTCGCAATCGCATGCTCCGGCGGTCAACAATCCCGCGATGACACCAACTGCATCCACCGAATCCTCATCTCTTCAAATGCTGCCAATTGAATAGAGGCAGGCCCGCATCACTCGTCTTCTTCCTCTGACAAAGCCTTAAAAATAATACGAGTGGAGTGTTTTCTTATTTTGCAAACGAAAAAATTTTCGTCGAAAAAATAACTGTATTTATTTTATCTATCGCACTGATGCCTTTTGTAAATGATTGTTTTAAAGGAGATCAATGATACCAATTTTGAATGCTTATCTGCTAGTTACACAAATAATGTAAGAAGCTCAGAAGCGAATAAAATCATTGGTGACGCGCAATAGGCGGGCCAGTGAGATTACGCGTTTTTGCACGATTTCGTGCTGTAGCAAGACTACTTGAAATCGTACTAGCTAGAAAGTGCGACATACTCCTCCTCAAAATTCAGGAAACTAACTGTGCAACTACTGCCGATGTCAGTTTCACAGGCTCGAAAACAACAAGTTGTTGGCGTGTGAAAAAGACCCCATGAGAAGAGCTAAATTTGAAATCTTTAAGTCGGGCATGAGTATGGGACACTCCCTTAAAGTCCCAGCTTTTCCCTTTCGCGAGATAGTAATCTTCTCGTCAAAGTTTTTACGTGTCCGTAAGTGGAACCGAGGCGGTTCAAAGGAGCTGAATTTGAAATCTACATGAGCAGGATTAGGTGACATTCTCTTAAAATTTCGGTTTTCCGGCTTTTCGCGCCTCCGAGTCAGCAAATTTCCCGCCAAAGCTTTCACGCATCCATGCGTGTGACTCCGACTGTTTTAAGCAGCTCAGTTTAAAATATTTTGACCGTACTTGAATAATGAACATTGCCCTAAAGTTTCAGCGTTCAAACTTCTCGTTCCCAAGTTAGCAATTTCCCTGCCAAAACTCAGAGGTGCATCGAGGCTGAGTTCAAATTTGTGAGGTTCGCACACCGGGACAAATCTTAGTCCAGTATCCTATAGTTGGAGATCGGAGAGGGGAAAGTACTCGACCCTCCGATCAAAAGTGCAACCCACTCGGAGTAAGCGTCAAAATTTACACAATCAGTAAGAGCGTAGTACCCGCGTACAGGCCCGCCAAAATTTTTTACGGGTAAGTTCATAACACAAGGATCTGAGAAAGAAAGCTGAAATCATAGGCGAATGTTCCTCGCCTAAGTAGGTGTTAACGCACTGAAACTCATCCCCCGGGCAAGCGTGGTACCCGCGTATGGGCCAGTCAAAATTTTTTTCGGATAAGCTCATAACTCGGTAAACCGAGAAGCTAGAGCGCCGAAATCCTAGGGGAATGTTCCTCGTCCAAGTAGATGTTAAAGCACTGAAACCCATCCGCCGTACAATCGTCGTATTCGCGTACGGGCCCGCCAAAATTTTTTCCGAGTAACTTCATAATTTAAGGATAAGCAAAATGCGACTAGAAAAAGTAAAAAGAAGTAATAATGTAAATGAAAAGATTGAAAAAGTGAAAATA